GGAGATTCAGCAACTGGTAAGGTAATGGTCAACAGAAGTACGCTGGGTGCTGCTGTAATTCCTAGAAATTTCCCCCACATTGATTTTTCTCCCCAGCCGGATAGGGTTGGGAATAAAGTACATATTAAGAGCGATGGCGAAGGCAAATACCGGTACGGCCACCATGCCAGCCGTCTTTCCTCATGAAACCGATCAGGCGTACACACAGATCTAGCCGATATACTAGTCGGTGGAAATCTGATGCTGGGGGTTTCAGAGCGAACTGATAGTTCGTCATCACGGTATGGCGGAAAGGGAGTGGTAGGACTATGAGGCTTGCTCGAGTTGACGCTGCTAGACGACGCGGCATATGCATATTTAGCCCCTGGGGACTGTGGAGATATCAACGTCGAGGTTTCTCCAGTTTGCACATCGCCTCTTTGCGTCCCATAGCTTGGGAGTCGGAACGGCCCTCCTGGTGGTGCCAAAAAATTAGGCGAACCTCCTCGTTCTCTTGGTATTGGGCTGTGAGACCTCGATGGATAGCGTGATGACGTCGGCGATGCAAAAAGCAAATTCCCGTTTTCCACTCGTTGAGGGCGCGAGATCGGCACACCACTTTCTGAAGCAGTCTCATTTTGTTGGGTATGATGCAGATGGGCCCGAGTGGGAGGGTTAGCCGACACAGCGCGCGCACGTCCGGGAACCGATGGCATTCCTGGGTGACTCACATCATCAGAATAGCTTCGTAGATGGATTCGACCCGAGTGAAAGCTTCTCGATCTCTCAAGTGCCGAGAGCACTGATCTAAATTCCAATGCGCCGACGAGGCTGGGGCGAATAGGACCCATTGTGGTGCCTCTCCGACGAGCGGAAGGTCTGCTAACGCGCATATTTTCCTGTAATTCTGCAAGATACCGATCTCGCGTTTCATCGTCTTCCTCTTCTTCGATCCTCCAGGTCGGAATATCTGCTCTCTCGAGCGCATCAAAATCATCATCAGAGGGCCCAAGGAATAGAGGATGTTGGCCACGTGCCACAGGGGCATCCTCATCTTCCGGCATTTCTTGAATGTCCAGTTCTTGATTTTGAGGAATGTGAAACTGTGCCCTGGCCATTAGATCTCGTTCAAGCCTCTGTCGTTGTCGACCCAAATACCAATGCCAGATAACAACTACCACAACGTAAAAGAGATAGAAGACAATCATAATGATGCATTCCCACATATGCAGCTTTCCATCTGCTATGAAAACCAAACTGAAGCTAGCTGAACAAGTAAAGAATGCAATGTCGCGGATAAAGCTCCGTCGAGCCACTCTAAACGGCCTCACCAACGCCATAGAGCCCGCCACGACTGCTGAAATGAAGCCAGCAGCTCCAATCAATTCACCTATCGCCAGACTGCCACTGTTTGAGCTCATGGCTGCAAAGGTAGAGAAGACGTCAGGGCTTCCATTTCCAAAGGCCAAGAAAGTCACGCCAGTCAAGCTCTCGCTCATTCCCAGAATACTGGCAATGGTACTGAGGTTCACGCAGAGAAAGTCGCTTGCGGCAATCCCAATGGTGCTGAAGAGAAGCGATAGCCATAATGCTAGGATCACAAACGCTACCGGCTTCGCGTTCGGGAGTTTGCAGTAATAGAGCTGTAGGTAGGAGAGAAGCCCAACCTCATGATCTGCGCAATTGGCGAGGACATGGGCGCACTGGTCTTTGGCCTTGTGAACGCGGCGGCATTTCTATTCAAATTTGGAACCGCGATAAGCCATGGGCTCTTTTTATACGATCCAGCACGCAGTGCAAACTTACATCTTGCTTATTGGCCGCTATATTGGACAATCCTCGACGTTCTATGGCCAGTTGCCTTTGTGAATGCAAGGTTTCTGGAGACAATGCTCTGCCTCCTGGGCGAGGAATAAAAACAGTGACGGCTGCGAGAGCCAAGAGCACTATTAAGACAAGATAGAAAGGCCGAGAGCTATATCGACGACGGGATTTCCTAGTCGCAGATGCTCGTGATAGCACGGATTCCAAAAAGCTATCCATTTTCGCAGCATGTTGGGTGAAATAGCACTGTGTGCGTGTATACGCTTGGCATTGCGTGGAGTGGACTCCAAGACAGGTGCAATGCGAAAGGATATGTGATCAACTCGTCGAGCCAAAATTGAAGAGTGCTGCTAACTGCAAGTCATCCCATGGCTGATGAAGTGATATTCGAAGACTGCATTCAACAACGACTCTGCAGTCAGAATGCTGGTCAAGATGGTGAACTGTCACCGTTGCAGTCTGGATGTCGATCTTGATTCATGTGCCTTGTTTGACGTGTTTGACAGGGTTGACCAATTTGACTTAGTGTGGTTTGTTAGTTATGTAAGCAGTTGAGTTCAGCCACAGATTGGCTGTGCATGCTGTGGCGGTGCAAGCTCTAGGAACGATATCGGACGATCGACAACAGTTTCAATGGGATGGGATACACAACCAGCACGTATAACTGCATGTCCTACCTCTGTCTGCTAGATATGTACCCTGATGTTTACTCCAGATCCTATCTCGTTGCGAAGTTGTGAGACGCTCCCCATGGTACATAGCTACACGAGTATGCTCGGGACACTTCTCTGACCTCTGTCAAAGTTGCTCTCAAAATGGATCCTGCAACGCATGTTCAGGCTACTAAAAGCCACTGGCAATCCGATGATCATCTCCTAAGTCGGTATTGCAATGATAGCCACCTATTGGAAACTCTAGCCTTGAAAGAAAATCTCAAAGCTTGCTGAACAGCTGTCGTTCAGTGAAATGGACAAAAGTTACACAGCAGTTCCAAATTTCGACATTTCTCGGCCAAGCACCTCGGATTGCAGGGCTACCATGTCATCTGTCCTTTATATCTTCGCATTCCCGGTGCAATGCTTTGGTCCTTCTGCCATCACCCCCGGCCGACGAAAATTGTTAACCTTGGGTCCCCAAGTCGCTTACTCGCTACCCTAGTGCAGCGAAAAGCAGCTATACTCAGCGGCAGCAATTACAGCTTAATCTGGCAATCTCATTAACGTCTTTAATGAAATGAGGTTCCGAATTCCTAACCTTCATGTCGAGCAAATCGAATCGGCCTTTACGGGAGGAAATGCGAGGTGGACAAATCGGGACCTGGATCCGATTCCCCGTCATCTGCGCAAATGGGGAGTGGTCAGTTTCATTGCCTATTGGCTTTCGGATAGCTTCAACGTGGGAGCATGGCAGTTTTCGGGCAGTGTCATTGCCATCGGCCTGTCGTGGAGAGAATCGTTGGTTATTTCTGCATTGGGTTACTTTATCATATCAATTGTGATTGCCGCAAACGGAGCAACTGGTGTGATCTATCACGCTCCATTCCCAGTTATCGCAAGAGCTAGTTGGGGATTCTGGGGATCATATGTTGCGATCATATCCAGGCTCATTCTAGCGCTCTTTTGGTTTTCCATCAACAACATGAACGGCGGAAATGCAGTTCGGAATATGATTGGCGCCATATGGCCAAGTTTCCTCGACATGAAAAACACGATTTCGGAGGAACAAGGCATCACCACAAATGGAATGATAAGCTACGTCGTGTACTTCATACTGCAATTTCCATTCCTTTGCATCCATCCCAATAAGCTCCGATGGATGTTTATAGCCAAGTCAACAGTGGTGCCGATTGCATGGATAGCAATGCTCATCTGGGCCTTTCGGTCTACGGACGGCGGGAAAATATTCCAGCATCGTGCATCAGTCACAGGTTCAGAATATAGTTGGGCATTTCTGGCCAGCTTGACATCGGTCATTGGAAGCTTTGCGACACTCAGTGTCAACCAAGTAAGAGATTTTCGGTCCTTATCCTATCCAAAAGCCCCAGAAATAGAAACTCTCCTCAACGCTGAGAACACAATCAATCTAGTGTGAATTGTATCTGTGACGTAAACTTTGGCTTCCCTTTAACTAAGATATCTCGACTGTAGGCCGATTTCTCTCGATACTCGCGAGTCAGCGTTAAGTGGCAGCTCATATACATTCCATTGTTACCAGCTGTATTCACGTTTGTCTCCTTCATTGGTACTGCTGTGTCATCTGCCGGCCAAGCAAAATACGGCGGAGAGATTCCATGGGACCCAAACACCCTGATTGCACTCTGGGATAATCGGGCGTGTCGTTTTTTTGGTGGATCCTCGCTTGTGTTGGCTTGCATTGGGGTAAACATCTCAGCAAACTCCTTGTCGGCAGCAAATGACTTTACAGCCCTTGCACCCCGATTCATCAACATCCGTCGAGGTCAGTTGTTGTGTGGTTTCGTATCGTGGGTTCTGATGCCATGGAAGATTGTGAGGTCAGCTAAAATATTTTTAAACTTCATGTCCGCCTATGCGATCTTCTTGGGTCCCATTGCCGGCATTATGCTCTTCGACTTTTGGGTTGTGAAACACCAGAAGTACGATTGCCTGGCGCTATATCAACCGCGGAATATCTATCGATATTATAAGAGCTTCAACTGGAGAGCTATCGTGGCATTTCTTGTCGGAGTGGCTCCTAGTTTGCCTGGGCTCATCAATTCGGTGAATGATAAGATTGGGATTGGAGATGGTGTTTATCCATATAAGATTGGATGGTTCCTCGGAATTGTAGGTTCAAGTGTTGTGTATGTGATTTTGTCTCGTCTCTTTCCCGCCGAAGAGACTCTTGTTAAACGGGCTGTTCTCCCTGACGAAATCTACGCAAATCGTTCTGAGATCATGGAGTCAAGTGTAAATCCCAGCCATGGAGATCTCAACAGCGATGGGTTGAGTAACACTTTGGACGAGACGAAAGGTGTCGATGGCCCTGAAAACGATTTGAGTGTCTAGCTTTTACTCTATAAACTACTTTTTACAAGTTTCCAATCGAATTTCAAAGTTGAATTCAACATCAGGTCCATACATTAGTACCTAATTTCTCTTTGCTTTGCCGGCAATTGCATATCAGTTTGTAGAACGCAACTTGAAGTTTCCTTTCTTTTTGCCGAGACCAAAATTAGAGCTTCCGTGGCCTAATGGGTTAAGGCGTTCGGCTGTTAATTTCGCAACCGAAAGATTGGAAGTTCGAGTCTTCCCGGGAGCGAAATATAGATTTATTTTTTGGTCTGTATCCTTTTTAAATCTGATACACTTGTGCCTGGTTGTGGTAGCGGCTGTGAGCTGGTTTGCTCTTATGTACGCACGTATATGGGGTTATCAGTGTCGTCAGATAACTACTAATGTAACTAGCGGTTAAAGGACTCTTGACTATCCTTATCACCGGTCCTTGAGCTTACTGCGTAGCTCTTAAACCTTCTTTATTAATCATTGGGTGGTGATGAGGGAGATCTAAGGGCCAGGCTTAGGCAAGGGCAATAATAAAGAGTAGCTAGGGGGTCTTTTATAGACTTTTGATGGGCGCTGTACAGTACTACACAGTATTAATCCCTTCCTCCGCGGCGTACGGAGCAAGTGATTCTCCGACGCCCATTTTGATTAACTAACTATGTAGTTAGTAAGCAAGCGTACCGTGAACAATCAGACGCGAGAGGCTGTTCCGCCTGCCGTATGTTTTGCTGATGCTAATCCTGGAACATCGCGACGACGAACAATAACAGTGCAGCTCATCGACCAACGAAGACAGGTTGCGTACATGTTTATTATATATTATGAGAACAGCTGCCTATTTACTGATCAATTTTCATATCCTTTTAGCAATTATCCTCTGAATTTCGCCGAATTCGGCCCAACCATCCATCATGCCTCGAGTTGTCAACCCGCCCACGAAGAGCCATCATGGCCGTGGCGGCAGCTCTCGACATGATACCACCCCTCATAAGAACTCTACAATGAAGTATGTAAAGTACGTTTTTCTGTTATTCTATTGCACCCCATTACGAGGAGGAAAGTGCAGACGGACGTCAGGGAAGGAGGGAAAAACGCAAAAAACAATGGGATTCGCCGCACATATGGAATATACCGCGTCCGCTAACAGCAACTGTTTTAACTATCCACTAGGATTCCCCTTAATGACGATGCGGGCGAAAAGGTCGCGCGACTTCAGTCTCGTCAGGCGCTTCACGATATGCAGATGAATCAGATCAAAGCTGCTGTGAAAACGCCAATGCCACCAAGGAGAATGAACTATGACAGAGCGTCTGCCAGTCCTCATACCCCTCGGGCGTCGATGCGTGGAAGAGAAAGCGATGTCGATGCCCTTGGAAGAGCGGTGACGCCTATGAAACGTGTGCCCATTCTCGCCAATTTTGAAGAATGGATGAAGATGGCGACAGACAATAAGATCAATGCTACGAACTCGTGGAACTTCGCGCTGATTGATTACTTCCATGATATGTCTCTACTGAAAGAAGGGGATGGAGTGAACTTTCAGAAAGCTAGTTGCACCCTTGATGGATGTGTTAAAATTTATACGAGTCGGGTGGATAGTGTCGCGACCGAAACAGGCAAATTGTTGAGTGGCTTAGCGGATTCTAATAATACCAACAAAAGAAGGCATGAAGATGATGAGGCAGCCGATGAAGATGGAGAAGAGGAAGAAGAGACTGGTGAAGATGGTGTAAGAAGAAAAACACGAAAAAAGGTAATTTAGTCACCGACTGCAATACTTATACAACTACATGTCTGGACTAATCTCTCTGGCATTTCTCTCAGGTTGCTCGCTCCCATGAAGCTACTCTGGCTCCTTCGTTCGCTGCTTTACAATTAAAGAAATTTGAATTGGAGTTTGCTGTCGATCCTCTGTTCAAGAAGGCCTCTGCGGATTTCGATGAGGGAGGTGCTAAGGGGTTGCTTTTAAATCATCTTTCAATCGACGGCCGAGGCAGGATCGTGTTTGATAGTAGCGACGACGTCGATGATGTGACTGCGGCTGCTGATGGCGATGACCAAGGTCAAACAGGGGACCCAGAAGGTTCAAAATCTCCAACCGCAAGACCTCGAACAGCTGATTCTGCAGATGAGCCTGTTGAAATTGATTTGGGCCCTTTGGCAAACAAATTTTTTCCAGACCTCGATAGCCTTGCTGAGCTGGATATTTGCCCCTCTCTGAAGAACCTTGATTTTGGAGACGAGAGTGGGACCCTGGATATCCCGTTTCTTCGTGCTCCGGAAGATTGGCGACAAGACAATCCGCAATCTGAGCCAGGGCTTAGGGAGGCGTCTGGGATAATGCTGGATGATGACATTGCCATTGGGTTTGACGACGACGATGGCACTGTTTCAGGATTTGATATTGGTGACGATGCTGGATTTGGCGAAGGCGGCGAGGTTTGGGCCCGGGAAGCTGCACTCGAACCAATGCTAAAAGTTCATCGTATCGATACGGGTGATGGGGACAATAATGACGGCTTGGGCGATGCGTTTGATTCAACAGAGAATGATCCCTATAAAATTTCGCTATCTCGTCAGCCTTCAAATCGAGATCACGAGAATATTCTGAGCTATTTTGATAATGCCTTGCGAAAAGATTGGGCTGGCCCAGAGCACTGGAAAATTCGCAGAATTAAAGAAACTACTGCTGCATCAAATTCGAATGTGGCTCCACGGCAGCGGAAGGAAAAGGAACCATTCGAAATTAACTTCTCATCACCACTGGATGCTGCAGTCGCTGAGATGATCTATACGCAAACGAATTCAAACTCTGCAATTTCATTGCCGAAGTCACAATGGAAAACCAAAGGACGAAATCTTCTACCCGATGACAAGCATTTCAACTCCCGGAACCTGCTACGATTGTTCCTGAAACCAAAAGCAAGGATGGGATTCCGTGCGCGAAATAGCATGAGGCAAATGAATAATCGTCATCAGCATGATTTTTCTTCATCGAATAATGGGGAAATGGACGAAGCATTCTGGGCGTCTCAAAAGCCCGGGATGAATCAATCAGGTGCTGACGAGCCTGCAGATCCTGCTGGAGCGTACGATGCTGATTTCTTTGCTGATGACGATGGCTTGGCGTTTCCCCACGGATTACCTATGGGAGGGGATGACGACGATGATAATTTGCCATTTGCCGATGCCAGGGAAGCATTCTCTCCACCTATTGACCCAAATGCGCCACAAGAAAGCGCTGTCGGGGAAGCTGGAGGCCTTTCAGGACTCAATGCTCTCCTGGGCAGTGTGGCTACACCTGGTGCCGCGTTAGGAGGAGGATTTGGATCTCAGCTCGTGACTCAAGGTGGCCGTCGAGTCCGTCCTGAATATGTTGCTTATGCTCGAGTTGCAAAGAAAGTCGACGTGCGACGGTTGAAGGAAGTGATGTGGAAGGGTATGGGTGATCGGTTAATTGCTTCATCATCCTTTAGTTCTGCGTCTCCTTCAGCAGCAGTGGCATCTCCTCCTCCGGTTCCAGCACCCGACTCAAATACCCCAGGTGAGGAACCCAACGCCGGACCTTCGGATCAGCGTAACCCCACAGCGACAAACGAACTAGAAAGTAATCTCCGATTTACAGAGATTATGAATGGCTTAACGGGATCTTACCCCGAGCAAGCTATGCGCGACATTAGCACTTCGTATTGTTTCATTTGCTTGCTCCACCTAGCGAATGAAAAGGGATTAGTACTCGAGAACTCTGGTAGAACCGAAAGAGAATGGGAGGGTAGGCTAGAAGAGGTTTTTATTAGCAGAGATACAGGCGCGGTGATTGAGGGTGAGATATAACAAATGTCAGATGAGACATACTTTGGGTTTTGTTTATCATGTCTTTTGGGGAATTCTCCTTAGCATTTTATTTTATTTTTAATTTTTGTCTAGTCGGGGTTTGACTTGCGCTGGTGTTGGGGTTGGACTATCTTTTGCTCTTGGATATTCAGGCTTTGCTTGAATGAAGAGAATATCTAGAGCTTTTTTCAGCCAGTTCATAAACCTATTGCTTTGTGATATAACTAGCTGTTCTGGGTAATCTTTGCAGACTCTTTAACCAAAAAAAAGCCCTGGACTGCACACCCATACACACTTACAGACTCTTTACTCTCATGCTAATGGTATTCTGTGAGAAGCACAAATCCAAGTTATTCCACCATCACCATGACTAGTTGTTATTCTGGAGAAATGGTGCTGATGTGGATTCTCCAGCAGCCTTGTTTAATGAGATTAGTAGTGAGTTTCTCCTAGTTAACTAACTAGTGAGCGCAGAGCCATCCTCAAGATCCTTCATGCTAATCTAACTAACAGATCCCAACAGCCACTGTCATCTTTTGAACATTCCACAGTTTTAAGCACCGAGTTGCAGCCAAATGTCAATGCCATCGCAATTACGGAGTACATATCACTTGCAATTGAGTGCTGCAAGACCCCATTCTTCAAAATGATGAACTACTAGGAGAGATGAATGGTTCTTACTCTCTTGGTGTTCCTTCTTGCATCACTACTACTGGACCGATCTTTAGCCTGTGAAAGATGGCAATGAGGTGCTTTCATAGCCCTCACTCCCCACTATCGGCTTTCTCCATGAGATGGATATCCTTGTGCAGGATCCTATTCTGATGATCATGCAACCTGGCACTGCATGAGAAATTGAATGTTGCATTGGAAATAGACACGCAACTGTCTATGCTGGCAATGGCCTCTGTTTCCACTGCCGCCAGGATGCGCAATCAGACCGGCTGTTAAAAGACATACACATGTGTCTTTAAAAGCGCCCCAGAAGCATAGTCGTTTCCTTGGGAATTTCTTTCACTTCATTCAGGTGGTAAAACTAGCAGGTTTAAGTCACACCTCCCTCGACTCTCTGGCTAAGCACAATAGAAAATGCGGTCACTCCTTACTTTCTCCGTTTCGATTCTGCTATACCTCATCGCACTCGGTACTGCTGTGCCTTTGGAACCATGTGCTGAGGTTGCTGCTGCAAGACAGAAAGCGAAAGGAATGTTGTTCAATTTCTCAATCTCTACCTTGCAGCTGTGGATGTACATTTCTTATTAATATCTCATGCAGATTATGTTTTTCTTCCAGCGGAACTGGCCTATAGGTGCTTGTCATCTGTCCCTGTGATGAAAAATGATAATATCAGATTGATGCGTGCACTTGAAGCATACTTCCAATGGCATAGCACCACTGACTATCTTAAGAATCCGCCTAAAA